CAAGATGGATTTGTAAACAATGGCTACTCCCCCCCCGGCCCTCCAGTCTACCCTGGTGTTGGACAGCATAACCGGGCGGACAGATGAGTGCTGGGGGGGACCCCCCTCTCCGCCTATCCATGTTTCGGTTATGCATGCCAGGTCTGCATCCTTCTCCAGGATAAGGTCGTAAATTACCGGGCCTTATTGGATACAGATCTGGCATTCAACAACACCAGGCGTAGATTAGAAGGCTGGCTGGTCTGGCTACCTCGATACTGGGGGTTGGTCACAGTCTCAGAACAATGAACAGCCTTCACGTATCTGTTCGTCATTCTTCTGACACAAGTAGGAACTGTGCGAACGCCATATAGCCCTCTACCCGTGATCACAGAGATGTTTTGGGGAAATTTTCTTCCTTAATACAAATAAATTGAATAACAAAGCAAAAACAAAACGAAAAATAACCAAATACAGTGTAGCATACATTGTGAGAAAACATAAATCAAATATAATATAATAACAAAATCAAATTAAGAACTAATAATAATAATTATTATTATTATATACTAAGAAAGAAAGAAAAAAAGAAGAAAAATCCCATAAACATTATCTCTTGATATAGCCCAGAATATACAGTATTGCAAATTAAGAATCCCAATACAAAGAACCCCATACAGTATATGAATTTAAATTAAAAGAAAAAAAACTCCAAGAAATTATCCCACACATATAGTCCAGGTCTGTCCTCCTCCGGCTCGTAGTCTTATCCTTTTAAGTTTTACTGGTTGTTATAAAAGTTTTTCTCAGGTATGCTTTTTGTTTAACTACACATTTTTTTAATTTTATTGTATTGTATTTATTTAAAATATTTTTACCCCACCTTTCTCCTTAAAAGGACCCAAGGATTTCAGCCGTGACAGCTTAACGTTTTAACTTAAAAGTGTGTGTGTTTGTGCTTGTGTGAGAGACATAAAGGCTGAAGTCTGTTTCTCTGTATATGAACTTTTAGTGATCCACTTATCTTAGTTCTAGTTAAACATATAGTAAATGACCTTGTCCTGTTTCGTCTTTTTAAGTAGCATGCTAAATTTCATTACTCTCCATTCATACACTATAATGCTTAATATAAGATGAACTATGTATGTAACTGATGTATTTTCACACATATTGGTGTTATAGGTACTTGTCACAAAGCTACAGAATTAAAGGTTGGGCAACACTTTCGTTATATCTCTAAAAAACTACAAATAAGACAGTTATCATGTGCTGCCCTCAACTGCTAACAAAATAAATTCAGTCCAGATTCTTCTTGAAACAGAGGTGACATAGGTATCCTTTTGCAGTCTCTACAGAAAAAAAGCCTTAAGAGGAACTGCAAAAGGATGCCTTTATCATTTCTATGCGGACTGAATGCCATGTTGCTTTTCTAGCAGCTTGGCAGTGTATCAGGCCCACATTTTGAACTAACCCCACAAGTAAGATTAATAGCTGTTCTAAACACTTTTCAGTAGAAAAATTTCAGAATAGGTGATAATTGGAATATATTATTTATTACTTAGGAAAAAGCATGCCTTGTCCCATTCAGAAATGTAATATGCAAGAAATATATCAAGCGACATTGTTATTATCTCTTGTTAACTTCATTAGTGTGTTGCATGATAGATTCACAATAATTACAGCAAGCATAATCACTGGAGATCTCTGTAATTTATTGTCTCCAGCTTAATGCAGTAATTAATTGGTTTTTATGACTACATCTTTACCTCCCATGTTTCACTGAAGAAGGGAGATCTTTTTTCATTTAATCAAGTTCATTTTTAAAAATAATGTTCTGTATAAAATAATTATAATCAGAAATACAGCAGTGTTAATGCAGGAGAACTGGATGCTGGTGTAGATAGATAAATGTAAACTTCTAAATTCCTTGAAGAACAGAAGAAATGGTTTTGATACTTTTAAACTTCAGTTTTTATTTTTCATTGTTACTTTGGCTTATTTTCTAGGTGCAAGAGCTTACTAAAGAATGGACCAACAAGTGGAATGAAACTCAAAATATTCTAAAAGTAAGAATATGTGAAATATTTTATTGTCTTTAAATCACAATGTTTGAAGAGTGAGCTGCTGAATTTCTGCTAATGAACTGTGCTGATGTTTCATAGACAGTTGCTTTATTCAGAGTATAGAATCATCGTTTTCTTTTAATGTGATTTTAGAAGTAAAAATCAAGACTGTGGTCAAATGTCATTTAAATTCTCCTTTTCTAGATACTTATGCTTGAAGCTTAATAAAGAGAACTTGAGTAATTACCCCACTAATGGAGAGAAGTCATCAGTATCTTTTAAAAAATCCAGAAGTCTATTCATTTTCACAATACCAGATTAATAAAAGCGATTAGCAACTTAATGCAGTCTGTGTTAGACACCTCTCTCATTAAACAACACTAAAATCCTCTAGTAATTGCTAATTTAATGAATTTAATTTATATAACTTTCTTTAGTAAAGGAGTTCTTACTTTTCAAAGTGTCAGGAACATGTCTCCTTAGAGAAGTCATTCCAGTAGGGGAAGGAGCCAACTGTAGTTTCCAGCATCTGCCACCTTTGCAACCTAGACTGGGTGGGATCTAGTAAGTGTTTGGGTGTGCAACTATGGGCAAGCTTCTGTCCCTAGATTTCCAATTATTTATTTGAGCTTAGAACTCTTTAGTTGTGTAGTTTGGTCCTTGCACACCAGCCTTCCCAGGTAGGACACCCAAATGACCAAAAACAGCAAATAAAGCCCTTGTGGCTAATGCACTTTCTTTGGGCACTCTCACCCTTGCCCTCAAGGATCACACTGGGGTAAAATATAGAATATTTACTTAGTAAAAAGTAGTAAAACAAAGAAAATACAAAAGATACAATTGTACTGGTTAAATACAAAGCATCCACGTATTAAGTAAGCTTCTGTAAACCTTTCCCATAAAACAATAAATACTTAATAACTAGTACCGTATTTTTCGCACCATAAGACGCACTTTCCCCCCACAAAACAGGGGGGTGGAAAGTCTGTGCGTCTTATGGAACGAAGAAAACAGATTATATTTTCCTGTTTTCTTCTCCTAAAAAATTGGTGCGTCTTATGGAAAGGTGCGTCTTATGGAGCGAAAAATACGGTAGCTTACTTAATTAATTACTAGGCTATTTTAAGTTGCCATGACTAAGTCTCCAATCCATCAACAAAGGCTGTAAACCTGTCTTCCATCTTCTTCTCCTTCTCCAACTTGTGCGCGCGCACACACCAACAACTTACTTTAGCCCCCCTCTTCTATAACTTAAAATCTCTGTCGCATGATGGTATCCAATCAGCATACAGTCCTTTGTTCGCAACTCAACACCCAACTTGCAGCTTTCCACAGCTCCTTCTCTCTTCCCAGGCTGGCACGCCGTTAGTAAGGAATGTTTTAGTTATCACTCCTGAGAAATTACAGCTCTGGCTGATCTTCACAGGAACACACAGTCTCTAGGCATGATGAAACACCTGCACATCCTGGGGAATAAGTACTACAAATTCCATATCTTCATACAAAGTAATAAAAGTGATTTAATAGGTATGGGTATAGAAACATTTCAAAGTTTCATGAGGTATGTTTAGGAGATAGTAGCCAAAAAATTAGAGTGCATATAGGTGGACGAGAGGCCGCACATAGCCAATGTAACTGCTCACTTTTTGGACTGCCCAGCTGATCAGTTGTTGTCACAGATTTAGGGAACAGACTCATGTTCCCCTTCTGATAGTAGTGGCAACCTGTATGATATAAGAGGATGAGTGTGTAAAGAGGTTTAAGTCTCTTAATAATCATGATTCCCCTGCTGCAGTTGGTAGTGAGAAGCAGTTTTTATGAGAGCAGCTAAAGAAGCTGCACTCTCCTAGAAATTGTGAGGCAACTTCTGTGCTAGGCCATAAGAAAAAAAAAATCCAAGAGCAGCTATAGTGTTCAGACCAACTTAAAAGCCACAAAGAGGTGAGCACATTTTTGAGCTTCAGTATACTTTTTTCATGCTGGATGTTAACCAGAAGAAAAGAGAGAAAGCAGAAAAAGGAAACCTGGAAGTTGAGTCATGGCAACTGGACTTCTTTCTTGTTAGGTTGAAACCCGAGTAGCTTCTTCAGTCTGAGGAGAGTTGGTAGGAGATCCCTGATATATCATCCACTTTGGTTTCACTTCCCCTTGGTCTAAATAGGCTCATTAGAAGGACAAAGGACGGGGTGAGGGATAATCCCCCTTTTGCAATCCTATTCCACCCATTGTCATGGGTTGTTAACAGTCCTTAATAGTGGTCTTTCAGTTTCTGACCCCACACACCAGATAACCTTGCCTGGATGGCTGAGAATCTTCACAGGCAGAAAGAGGCGAGTTGAGAAGGTTGTTGTGCTTGATGACAGCCTTGGAGAGGTGATATATGAATGTACACTAAGCGACTTAAAGGGTCTCTATACCAAAAGATTACTGAGAAGTACAGTTACTTTCCTTTGGAAAGTATACATGTTGGCAGTTATTTAGGTCTGCCTCTGGCAATTATCAGAATAATAATCAGATCATTACAGATTTTTTAAAATATATATACTATATTAGTAAAACTTACTGAGTTAATCCTGTCCTCTTCAACCATCTATGGTCCCCAACATTTTTGCCTCCACAGACCAGTTTAGCATGCGGGGGGGGGAGTCTGTGTGTGGGGGAGGGGCCATGTGTATATGGGAGGGGTTTGCATGTATGGGAGGGGCATGCATGCATCTGCACGTGCAGGGGGGGGAGGAGATTTGTCTCCATGGGCCAGGGGTTGGGGACCCCTGGTTTATGCTACTCAAAACCAGGCTCTGAAGGCATTTCTCATCCTTCCAGAGCCAGTTTTCTGATGGAACCGGTTATTCCAGAGCAGGACACACCACCACTAGATCCTGTCCTTTGTATGTTTTTATTTTAGTAGCAAAATATGTTATATTATTATCATAATGTACTTGTATTAAGATAGATTTTTTTTTTTTAAATTTGCTCCTGTTTTGGATTAGTGAGCTTTAGTGAACTCCCATACAAAAACTCAGTGTATGGTCAGGAAGGAAAACAAAGGAAGGCAGGAAATACTTGGAGAGAAATTATACACAGTCTCCCACCCTGGCGACGGCGCAGAAAGCCAGCACAGAAAACCACATTTATTTCTCTCCTTCTTTACCACTGGCAGTGTTTGCATTGGAGTGTGTCAGCTGCTGTAGTAGCTGCTGGGACTATTGGGCATTGTATTTGTCAATGAGGACACTAAACTGTGGTCCCTTTTCAGATTTGTGACATATTGACTGTGATACCCCCTACCCTGTTTACAGCACGAACATAGCAACATTTAATTAAATAAGTAGCTCAGTGTTAGTATGTGTGGTACTACCTGACATGCTGATAACATCATGCCTTCATACTTCAGATTACACACAGTCTGGAATGTAGTGTTGAAAGGCAAACTGCCTAACAGATGGTACCACAGAACGAGCTGATCTGTTTAATTTTAGCCTAGTTGTTGAATTGGGAATTAATAGTATTATTCAGAAAATTCAGAACTGCACAGTTTTTACATTGGAGGTGTTTTATAATGGCAGTGTGATCTGTGCTGAACTGTATTATTTTTTTAAACCTCCTTCTCTTGTTTGGCCTCCAGCCACTGTTCTTCCTTCACTTCAAGTATGGTGTGCCAGTTGTGTGGATGTAGCTTTTTTTGTTTAGTATTGCAGCTTCACTTTGCACTAGGCACTTGTTTCAGGGAAAGAGGAAACACCGTTCAGCTATTGGTTCTACTTTACTACTGTATGCTAAAACTCTTTGTCTTTGGAAGGAACTAACCTTACGTTTATGCTATTTAGAAAAAACTAGTTTTGGAACACACAAAAAATAGCGGAAAGCTGGCTTTCCAGGACTTCAGTTTACTTACTGTTGCAACTGATTGTTCTCTTGCTTGCCAGTTGCATTATTACCTTGTAATGGTTGGCTGAGTGAAATGGGCACATAGGTATGCCTCTGAGATAGCTGCATGCATCCTTTAGCCCTAGCTGATTCACACAAGAGGGGTTCAGACATCTATTAGGAAACTGGCTTGTTTTTACAAACAATAATTAGCATTAAACACAGGTTTTTTTGGTGTGAGATGAAATGATTAGGCTTAGTAGATAAGCTGTGATTAATCAGACATGAAACAGTACTTTTTAAAAGAGCAGAAAGAAAAACAAACACTTCCTTTTTTTATAGTCATGCCAAAATGACAGTGGGAATGTGCAACCCTGAGGCTCACTAGGACTTGTTCCTTTTTGAATAAAACATAATTTAACATGGTGTTTAAATTAGCTTTTTGGTTTAGATTTTTTTAATGCAAGATAGTGTTTTAAAAGATAACTGCAGTATACTCCCCAAGATAACATCATGCTCCTGTTAAAGCTGCCCATCTTTTCTGTTAGTTCCCAGTTGCAACCCCTAAGTGGTGTAGATTAATAGGCCTCTAATTTGAGAGCAGCTATCAGGCCTGGTGTGCTCTGGTCCATGGGGTCACGAAGAGTCAGACACGACTTAACGACTAAACAACAATCAGATTCCTATCGAACTGAAGATACATTACAACATCAAAATCAATCAAAACATTGTTAAAGCTTCACTTATAGCATGATGCCAATGTGTATAGAAATTGAGGAAGTATGTAGCTATTCAGTGAGACACATTTTGATAACCTGCTTATTGCTACTGCTATTTCATACACAACATGTTCATACAGGTTTTTAGAAACTGTAGGTGACAGGAGAAAACAAAGATATTGCCAAGCTAAGAATATTTGCATTTGGAAAAGAAATGTAATTTCTGTGTTGGAGCCAAAATGTCTCATGCAATTACTTTCAATTTTATACATTTAAGAATAGAGTGGCTGGGTTCATATATGTATTGGATTGTTGGAAAACTCATGATTCCCCCCCCTTCTAATGAGGTAACCACCCTCCCCCCTTTTCGCAGGTCTGTTATTTTGCAGAACTTTTGTACATGTTACTCTTATACTC